ATCTTCTCCTATCCAAATATTCCAGTTTCCATTCACAAAATCAAACTCTTGACCACTTAATAATACCCCTAACCTAATATCAACCCCGACAAAGGAGCAAAATTTACCCTGAAAGTAATGAGCTTTCACTAGAAATCAAAGACCCTAAGCCAATTCTTTACCAAACCCTAGCAAAGAGTTAAGAGAAAAATAAAAAAAATCAAAAGAAAAATCGGAGAAACGAACCACATGCTGCCACGATACTTGAGTGTATAAGGACCGCTCTCAAGAGCACGATCGAAGTGGCTATGAACCTTATGCTTCCCTTTACCACTCTGATCAAGCAAAGAAAGCTCAAAGAGAGCCCTAACATCGGTACCATCGCTAGCAAGAGCAATGAAAACGGAGACATAAGCCGAATTATCCTCAGGATTCTTGCCATCAGGATAGAAATAGATTGCCCATTGATAGCCTCCGACGGTGAAAGTATCGCTGGCGATGTGTTTTCCGATCCCGATTCCTTTGGCCAAAGAATAGCCTTTGATTGTGAAGCTGTGTGATCCGTTTATGGTTTGTGTGACGGAGAGAGAAGTCGTCGTCGGTGGCGATGGCATTTTCGAAAATTTCGTCCAATAGTTTACGCCCAAATACTACTGATATATCAATTATTTCATTTAAAATAAAATGTAGTTAGTTTAACCAGTAAGTAGAAAACACTATCACTCATTGTCTCGTCCAATATAATATCCAATTCAAAACGATGTCCCCTTTCGAAAAAAATATAAAATATATATTCTATAAATCTGATATAGATATTATATTTGACTATGGTTTTCAAACCTTTTTGAGTTCAAAAACATAAAAGAAAACTAGCAACACAGTCTTGTTTCACAATATAAAAAATAATAATCAACCCTTACCAAAAGACAAAACTTGATATAGTTTTAGAACAAACTACTTTCCACCAAAAGTGGGGAAAAACCAACGAGCATCCTTGAATGGTATTGGCGATGAAGTAGTAAGATGTTCAAACACTTGGACCTTTTTCTTGGTTTTAATATGGTAGACGCAAATACCGTACTTATCATCATTGCATAGACTAACCCCTTTATATCTATGTAAATCATCATGACTAAAATATATGCAATTTCTCATAACTCCATCTTTGGCTGCAACCGTTATTCCTAGGTCCAAAATCAATGCTTCGTCCCCTATAGACTTGATTAATCTCCATTTTGATGATTTAGGATCTATCTTGTAGAGGGTGAAGAAGCATTTCTTTGGATTGCTTGAAATGATCAAAACTTCTCCAGACAATGTCACAGCAAGATTCCTGACATAACAATCTTTCGGAGATGGGAGAGTTGCATACTCCACTGGAGAATGACCACCGGAGAAATCAAACACAGAAATATTTCGAGCTGGACTAAGCACGTAAAGTTTGCTTTCTTTATACACCATATGGAGGCATCCTTGATGCTTTGAAGGTTGAAACACTTTCCAGCTATTATTGTCACCTCCTTTCTTGTGATATGCAAAAGTGCTATGATGAAACCAAACAACAAAGTAATCTCTGGTTTTTTCATCTACCCACAAAACCGCACCCCTTATTCTAAGATCGCTGTTTTTACCATAAGAAACAAGTCCATGTGCTTTGTAATACATAGACATCTCGAAATCAGAGTCACCGGTTCTCACAAACTTCATCTGCCATCCATCAATTGATTCCAGAGACGGAAGAGGAATTCTCTCTCGAGTAAATAGATTCAAGAGATGAAAATCAGTTTTATGGTCTAGCATAAGGAACCAGCTACCGGAACTTGCCAAACAACGACTCCTAACCATATCAAACCCGAGATCTCTTATTGTGTATGAACTATGGTCACGAGGATCAAACAACTTACATGAATCGTTGTTGGTTTTCACATGTTCGTTTGGAAAGAGGATGATCCATGGAGCTGTTGGATTTGTTCCTCCAATGCATGATTTCGAAGCGGAATACCATCCTGAAGAAACACATCTAGCTCGATGAAAATCAACAAAGCTCAAGCGTTCCAAGACCAATCTAACCAAGTCCAGGACAAGTATCGGCTGCTTTGAATCGTTGCATGTCTTTTTTTCGTTGGAATCGCTCATCTCCTTCTTCTGTTTCTTCTGTGTCACGCCAAGTAAAAAAAACCTAATTAAAGAACGCTTCCCTTTCGTTTGTCAGCGACTTTATCAACAATTTGTATAATATTGAATTAACAAATTATTTGATTTTTCCTTTTAAACTATGTTAATAAATTACTTATAAACTATGTTAATAATTTTCTAATCTTCTAACATATAAATTTCTAATTCGGGAAATTAAATTCCTTTTTTTTCTACATACTTCCTTCATTTAAGAATTTAATTTCCTAATTCGGGATGCAAATTAAGATATAATTCACTCTTTAACATATATATATATATATATATATATAGTTTTTTTTTAGAGGATCAATATACAGTTGCGTATCGTGTAGCCCAATTTGTCAAATTTATATTTTCAGTATTTTCCTTTTAGTTCATCAATTTCTTACTAAACTTTTCCATTTAATTTAGATTTAAATATATTTTCATCATATCGATCCCCGAATCCGTGTGTATTCGGATTGTGTATGTTGGTAGGATATTTAGTTTCAGGCACTGGCAGTTGTTACTCTTGGTGATAAGCTATTGGCGAACAGCCTTGAGGGTTCTGATGAATAGAAAAGGTTCTATCTTCAGGTCTCTTCAATATTTCTTTTTCTTTTCACTCTGTTATCATTTTCTAACAAAATAGCCTTTTAATAGGTAGAATTTAGATTTTTTGCTACGTTTCATTTTTTTGTTGAGCTTATAGAGATATTCTCAGCTACTCCTTGTGATGTTTCAGTACACTTTTCCTCCATCTTCTGCTGGTTATGTTGGAAGAATTGGAACACGGGACACTAGCAGAGTGAGCAATGGAGACCAGATAACCTCCTACTGATGATGATTTTCCTTACACAATACGTGTTGAATGAAAGTGCATGCAGTACTAATTGAAAGCAATGCCTCTTCAAGGTAGGTCAGATTTTTTTTTCTCTGTGGCTGTAAGATATGCACCTGCCAAGTTAATTTGTTTGAGTTATAGATTTGCGCTTGCTTCTTATATTCTTCTGAAACAAATGTAATCTGTTTGTTGTGGTTGCTTGGCTTTTACAAGATGCTGGAATTCCAGTCAAATGCTCTGTTGCTGGCATAGCAATGGGAATGGTTTTGGGATATTACTGAAGAATTTGGCTCTGATTAATCTCCTCTTAATTATCCTTTCTGACATCACTGGAGCTGAAGATGCATATCTGGTGAAATGGAGTATAAGGTCATCAAATATATGATGCTCTTGAAGGGGACAAAGGTCAAACTCGTGATGAGGATGGTAATGATGATAGATGGATCGATAGTAGCGTGAATGCGTGATGAGGATAGTAATGATGATAGATGGATACGATACTAGAGTCCAAAGCTCTTTTGGGTAACTTGGGTTACCTCTTTTTGGGTTTTTCTTTATTGATTCAAATCAGTGATATTGATACAAAGATTTGAGGAGACTCTATTTATAAGCCTAAGAGAGACGGCCTAATCCTAATTCCAATGATCATAGGACTTCGACTTTATCCTAAAACGGAAAGAATCCCACATCACCAAAGACGGCAAAACTTGTTGACACGAAACACACACCAACTATGCGTCCACGACTCGACTGATAGATG